TTTTTTTTTAAATCTTATTTATTTGCTTCAATAAAATATATTTATTATTAAACAATAGATTAATTATTTGCAACCATTCATATGGTCACTGTCAGGATCAGTAAAAAACCTAGGACTTCAATTCTTTCCCAGTTTAGATTCATGGTTCATACAAAATGTCATGGTTCTCTCATTTTCTATCTTTTTATAGAAGCAGAATCAGTTTGTGTTGTGAAAAATGTGATGGATAATGTTCTTAGTGAACTACACAGACGAGAAAAAACAGAGCTGAATGCTTTTGTAAGGTGAGTATATTTTCTTATAAGTTTATTGCTTTCTAACACTCTTTTTTTGGTGTAGAACATCAACTTGCAAGTCTTGAAGTTAAAGTAATCAAAGAGTTAAACAAATATCTAAATAAAAACTAATATTTTGTTAACATTTGATTAAAATCTGCAATCCGTGGCATTTAAAGACATATACTGTTAATATCAAATGTAATTTGAAATCCAAATATTTTTTTATGTTTTAAAGTAAATCAAAGAACACCTCTCTACCTTTTAACAGGAAATTAATCAAGGATCTGGAGATAAAGAAGAAAGAAATGGTTGGGGTTTTTGGTAAAACCGGAGCTGGAAAGACCTCTTTGATAAATGCTGTCATTAATGAGAAGAATCTTTTGCCCTGTGGAGATGTCACTGCATGTACCTCAGTCATGATTAAAGTGGAAGCTAACACCAGCAACGAAAACTATGAAGCACATATTGAATTTATCACAACAGAGGTAAAAGAGCTATGAAAATTCACCCCTCTTTCATTTAAAAAGAATAATCGTGGTTTTTCATGCTTTATACAAATTATAATTTGACTTTTTTTTTACATTTAGGAGTGGGAAGAGGAGTTGTGGTCAATAAGACAGTATCAAAGGGACTCTTCAGAACAAAACAGAGATGATGATGATGTTGATGATGATGATGATTATCAGGATGTTGCTGCAAAGCTATCAGCAGTCTATGGAGACGTATGGAAGCAGAAATCTTCTGAACAATTAATGGGAAGCAAATACTTCACAAAAATACCAGAGTTTCTTGAATCCAGAGAGAAGATAATGTCTTATAAAACAGTAAGAGTGAAATGGTGCAGAAATTCCGTAAAAGTATTCATATGGACAAGCAAGACAACTGAAATCAAGGATTTTTAGATTTAAACAATGTTTAATGGAATAATTAATAAACTGTAAAGATTTAAAAAGGATTTTTTTGGGGTATATTTTATTGATCTATGAAGTGAAACCTCTTAATAATTGCCACTAATGAACATTACAACAAGAAGGTGCTGTGAGCTGTGTGATTTGATCATTTTAATGGCTTCCGGATTAATTATTTAGTTTTTAAATGGTTCTTAAATGTGGACAATAAAATAAAGTTTCAATGTTATGGTGGGTTGGTGTTTGGGGTTGTGATAAAAGTTGCTAAATCTTGAACTCTACATTCTTGATCTTTTCCGTTTTTTTCTTTTTGCAGGCAAAAGAATTATCTGCTAAAATGAGAAAATACACAAGAACTGAATTTAAACAATGTGGGGATAACAGAATGAAGAAGTGCTATTGGCCACTTGTGAAGTGTGTGACTGTCAAAGTGCCAAATAACAGTTTTCTCCACAACATCACTCTCGTGGACCTTCCTGGAAATGGAGACCGTAACAAGAGCAGAGATACAATGTGGAAAGGGGTAATATATTCCTGTATTATGCAAACTGCAGAATGTTTTTTTTTTTTTTTTAAACATGATGATTATACATCATTGATTTGTTTGCTACAATAGATTGTTGGAAGCTGCTCTACTGTATGGATTGTGACAGAAGTCAACCGAGCAGCAGCAGATAAAGAATCCTGGGATATCCTGAAAAGTGTCAGTAGTCTCATTGGAAATGGTGGGGAGTGCAGAAAAATTCACATTATTTGCACAAAGTCTGATATTATTGACGGTTCAACTGATCAGTAAGTAAACTCAAGCACTATAGGTTTACAGTTAGACAAAATATTATACTTCTTTCTGGAAAATGTAAGATCAAGAAATGTATATGCTCATTTATGAAAAATTGATAAATTATTGGCCTGATCTTCAGAGGGTTTGTGCAGAGCAGGAGTTCATTTCAAAAAGCAGGGTTACCGAAAACTCTCGAGTTTTTCATTTCTCAAATAGAGTTTACTCAACCTCAGTTTAAGTCACCATAGTTACATTCTCCCTAGAGCTAACCTGATCGGGAACAGGTTTTGTTCGATAAACTTAGAGCCAATGGATGAATGGGATCCTACTGACAGCGCACCGCTGGTATGTGGGGGTCTGAGCAGCTCCGACAGAAATATTGGAAGTCAGGATGAACTGACTGCACTGATTAAGTCTTCAGGTGGATTTTCCCACTTAAAAACATAATAAAACTACTTAATTCCCACTGATCACAGCAAATATAGCTGCAAGGCAGAGAAAGGATAGAGTAGCTCCGCCCAACGCGCGTCAGACACACTTTTGCACCGCGCAGCCAGAGCAGCAAAGCCGCTTCAGCCGCAAGTCAGAAGCTGGTACAAGCAGCAAAAAGGAAGCAGCAGACGTGATTTTGCTGTTCCTGCTGCGTCCAGTTTGAAAGCAGCATTATTCACTCCGCTCTGGCTTTGCACTGCCCACGGGCTGCTGAGAGGAGGATGGTCGCGCCGGCTGCGGTCCGCTCTTCTTGCAGTCAAACACCGAGCAACTTTCTGCTCTTAAATTGTTTCCGTGCACGATGTATTGTATTGCGCACTATTAGCATCAGTCTTAATAATGAGAAGCCACACTTTTTACCTGGGGGGCACTTTAAAGGGGTTCCACGACGCTCGCAACCAGTTCACAACAGATGCACAACAGATGCACATGAACCCTGGCTGTAGGCGTGACCACCTGTGTATTTTTCCTGGATGACGCAATCACGTTAAGTGTTAGCCAATCACCGAAACTTGGTACCGAAAGACGAGGCATGTTTCGATACTCGGTAGAACCGAAGCATTTCGGTCGGTACCATAAAAGAACCGAAGTTCGGTACCCAGCCCTAGTCATATGTCAATTAAATTTTTTTGGTCATAGCATCTTTATTCATATGTAGCAGCTAATATACGCAACGGATGAAATAAGAATAATTTACTTAACCATTGACTAAAGTTACAGTGTTCACGGGGATGGACGTCTGTGTCTTCGGCAGGCGTAGAGCTAACAGAACTGGCAGCGTTGCGAGGCAAGGGCTCAAACATGTACGGCTGTAAGCCTTCGACACCAAACCAAGCTACTGCCGCCCTGGTGTCCTCTTCCACAACATCCTCTAAATAAAAAAATGTAGGTTTTGGATGAGGAGACTCATCCACGACCTCCGACATAAGACTCTCCTCCTCTTGCATGTTTCCACTGTCCATAGCATTCCTTGACAGTGTAATTTTTAAGTCACCAATTTAGTGCTACTTGGTCTCAATGTAATTTCCCATTGGAAACTTACTAGCACTAAGTTGCTAACTGGTTAGCAAGATGCTTCTGAGACACGCAAGCAAACATGCTTGCAAACCTTTCGCCACATAAATCTCGCACTCTTGATAATCGACCAATCACATTCACTTAATTCAATTTATTATGTAAAGCTGTGCACCACTCGAGAGAATTTGGAAATGCAATGGTTGGAACGGCCATTTCCCTGGGACTTTAACAGAACAGAACATTGAGAGAACATTGGTGTGTGTTTGAAAATAGCATTGTAGAAAATAAAACCCCATAGCCCCATAGAATGGCTTCAGGGAGTTCCTCCTCTAGTAGGTTTCTTATGTCTGATAACATTAAGTTTATAAATGATAACAGCCCCTTCGGCCACATCTAAAACTATACATTTTATTTACTTACCTACTTTATAGTTTTCATCTACTTTATTTAAAATGTACATATTAAAAAAAAAAAAAAACTGTTTTAAAGTTTTAGTTCGAATGAATTATATGTTTTATTCACATGGATTTATTTTGGTGATTCAAAACAACTCGGTTGACAGGATATGATTTTATTTTTTTTGCTACTGGTTTGTGACATGCAAATCTTTTTTCTTTCCTTTTGTAAATTACATGAAGAACTACTGAAATTCTTTCCAGATTAGACATACATAGATTAATTAATTCCGCAGGAAAAAAGGAATAACCTAAGGGTTAGGATTAGGATTCATTCAGTGATACCAACCTACTGAGCCTAGTGGTAGGTAGGAGACATCATCTGAAGCCATTCTATGGGACTGAAGGCATATTATATAGATGATAACAATTCAAGCAGTTGAAAATGGCCACTTAGTATTTACTGTGTGATGGAAGACAGAACCAACATGAGGAGGAACCCCATGGGAATATGCACGGGTCCTATGTTTGAATAATGTTGTTATTCTCCATCATCAACTGCTGCCAAGTGATTGCACCTCAATAGATACATTGATAGACTAGCATTCAAGCAATAAACTAGTTTTCCCTGTAATGTTATTGTGGTTACAACAGGCTGCTTTGAGATGTATTATTTTGACTAAATATGTATTTCTAATATCTTAGAAAACATTTTTTTACCTTGTCAAAAAGAAACTAAATTACATTCTTTAATTTATTATTGACCATTTGGTCAACCAAAAGGAGGTTTGAAGTCGACAAGGCAGTAGCGACCTTTATTGTGACCTGTAGTATGATCAAGAAAAACTACTATTGACCTATTTAAACCTCCAAGATAAAAGTTCCTAATCATACTTTGCCCTAAAGACTTGGTAGGAAAAAATATCAGAAAAATTAAAGAAAATGCTTGCAGAACATGTTCTGCTGTAATTGCTACTAAAACAGAAACTTCTTATAGGAGTTAAATATGGCTATACTGTTTAGTAATCCTCCAAATATACTTCAAATGTCATGTTATATTGAAATATTCTCTATGTTATGCTCGATATGAGTGAATGCAATCTTTAAGGAACAGGATTCTGTAGAGAAACAACCTCTCCACAGAAACAACTCTAAAGTAGCAACATAACTTTTCTTTCAGCTCACCTGATGTTCAAGACTTAATCCTCCAAAGAAACATGAAAACAAAAGAAGCAGTGAGGAAAGAATTCAACAAGCTAAGCAAGATTAAGGTAAGCTTCAAACGTTGACAGATATACTAATACTGTCCAAAACTACAAGAAATAAACTTTAAATCTAATTGATATAGAAACACTTCACTGATGAGTCTTTCCAAGTGTTCACAGTGAGCTCCAAGGAGTTTCTAAAAGAGAGTGTTCTAAGTCAAAAAAATACTGGTATGTTTCATACAAAATTTGTCGAATATCTTGTTGGTGATAAAGAAACTCTTAGGAATCTGGTTGGGCAACTGTTGAAATCATAGTTGATGTGGTTTTATTTTTACAGAAATCCCTCAACTTCAGGATTTTTTGCAGGAGCTCAATGACGATCACTCAGAAACATTGAGTTATATATCTAGAGCTCATGGGATTCTCTCTTTGATTCAAGGAGCCAGCTTGAAAAAACAGGTCAGAATTTATAGGGAAACTTTTGTTTCTCTTGTTAGCTGCATAAATGTCTGTACACAGAGAAATGTTCATCAGTGCAAAGCTATTTTAAATATGAGCCCTGAAAAGTGTTTGCTGTAAAGTTAGATTCATCCATTACCTTTAAATAGTAAACACCTTAAATATTTAATTGATTACCAGAATTCTTTAATTCAACTTCTTGCTGTGGTTCCCCACCAACCTCATTGGCTTCCTGTAAAAAAGTGCATTGAATTAAAGTTTGCTACTCAAACATTAAAGTACCTCCAAGACCTTTCACATTCACATTTCTCTGATATTCTGTACGTTGTTTTTTTTTTTAGCTCCCTACTATTACCATAATATTATCCATACTTTCAAAAGAAAAAACGTTCTTATTCTTCAGAATAAGGCTGGAGTTTCACTTCCACTGGGCCACACAGAACATGAAGGATTTTATTCAGTTCTGGGGTTTTAAGAAAATTTTATGTACTGTGTCAGATGAAGGACAACTAGAATTTAATGACCTCCTCATTTAATGGTATTTAGCTGACACTTGTTTTTTTCCATTATTAGTGATTTTTAACTGACACTTGTTTTACATAAATATTTGATTCTATCGTTTGAATTGTGTAAATAAACTGTTGTTAAATCCCCCAAAATATCGTATTATTATTATTGTTATTTATATTATTATTATCAAACAAGTTGCATTCAAAAAGGAATTGTTACTTCAATAAACAGAGTAGGCTTTTTTGCATTTACTAACAATCTGTTGTTTTGCAATGCTTTTCTTTGTAGCTTGGACAAAACATAGATGTATGTGAAGAGCTTAAGAGAAACTTAGTCCTTCATCTTTGTTTAGTCCAAAAAGAGATGGAAAAAGCCTACTGGGTTTTTGAACAAAACCTGCAAAAAGGGGTTGAAAACTCCAAAAGGTCATGTGAAAAAAAGCTGAATCAGGTTTTATTTCCTCGGGTATGTTTTTTTTTTTTTAACAGTAATCATCTGGTAATCATCAAATTGAATTCTGTCACATTTTTTCAAAATGTTACTTATTTTTTAAGGGAAAGAGTGGTTGTACCTATCACAGAACATTAAAAAGTGTTGTCAAAAAAGGTGGAATCCACAAACCAAAAACTGGAAAAGAAATAAACCTCAACATGAAACTTTCATCATTCCTGACTGACAGCATTGATGAGGAATTCAGGAAGACATTCCCGTAAGATCTTTATAATCATATGAAAGCCTTTCCACTCAAAACTTAAGTGCCATTTTATTGATTTCTTCATGTCAAAATGTTTCAGAAAGGAACAACAAATTGGTCCATTTAATGGTGTCATTAACAACTTTTCACTCAACACTGAAAAGCTGAAGTACAAAGATGTACAATTGCAGCTGATATTCCTTGGGACAGAGGTACAGTAAACGATGAGAGAAAATAAATGTTATAGTAGTAAGAATGGCCTAGTGGATGTTGTAGTGGTGAAACCTTTTTCATTTCTCTTAGGAAGAGAAAGTTAAGAAAACACTGAACAGAATGATTCAAGACCAGAAGAAAATAATCTACCTCAGCCTGACACATACAATTGAGCAAAAAATGCAAGAGTGCTACAAGAGTAAGAAATTTCATTAAAATCTCTCATTTATTTTTGAAATTAGATATATCTTAATTCTTTCTATGCCATTTTAAATAAATCTCTGATCAACTGTCTTTGCAGCTGCAGCAGGATACTCGGGTACCGGTATGCTAGAGAAAATGAGAGAAACCCTAAAAAAGCATGTTAATGGATTAAAAAACACAATGTTTGAGGATGCTAAAAATGCGATGTTGGATCATCTCCTGAGCTTAAGGGTTTGTCCATCTATTGATTTTGAAATATTATGTAACACAATCAAATTAAATTTGAACTTTACAAACATATCAGAATCAAAACCATCAACAATTAGTGAAAATACGTATAAAGCCATAATAACAAAATATATCTGTTTCGGAGTCCATTTTCTACCCTTTCACAAGATTCTAAGATCATTAAGAAAATAAAATGCCCACTACATTATAGATCCTTTTTAATCATTAATAGAGGCCATTAGGACCCAGCAGTGGATCTTTAACCCAGTTCTAAGGACCCAACTTAAACGCTCACATGGGCAATGACAGTGAGACCTGGGGAGGCGTGGTTGGAAGGAATTGCCCACCTGACCTGAACTCGAGTGGTGTTCTGTTTTTGGACTGCTTTGCTAGTCATGGATTGTCCATAACGAACACCATGTTCAGGCAGAAGGATGTCCATATGTGCTCTTAGCACCAGGACACCCTAGGCTGTAGTTCAATGATTGACTTTGTTGTTGTTTCATCTTGGACACTCGGGTGAGGAGAGGGGCGGAGCTCTCCACCGACCACTACCTAGTGCTGAGTTGGCTCCGATGGTGGGGGAAGACGCCGGTCAGACCTGGTAGGCCCAAACATATTGTCTGCTGAGGAACGTCTGGCAGAACGTCTGGCAGAGTCCCCCGTTGGAAGGAGCTTTAACTCCCATCTCCGGCAGAGCTTTGAACACATTCAGAGGGAGGTGGGGGACATTGAGTCTGAGTGGACCATGTTCCGTGCCTCTATTGTTGAGGCAGCTAGTCGAAGCTGTGGCTGCAAGGTTGTCGGTGCATGTCGCGGCAGCAACCCTCGAACACGAGGGTGTGGACACGAGCGGTGATGGAAGCTGTCAAGCTGAAGAAGGAGTCCAATCGGGCTTTAATGAACTGTGGGACTCCAGAAAAAGCTGAAGTGTACCGGCAGTCTAAGTGGCGGGTTGCTCGGCTGGTGGCCGAGATAAAAACTTGGGCATGGGAAGAGTTTCGAGCGGCCATGGAGAAAGACTTCCATACGGCTTCGAAGCGATTCTGGTCCACGTCTCAGGAGGGGGAAGCAGTGCAGTACCAACACTATTCATAGTGGGGGTGGTGTGCTGCTGACCTCGACTGGGGACGTCGTATGTCTGTGGGCGGAGTACTTTGAAGACCTCCTTAATCTCACCAACACATCTTCCATTGAGGAAGCATTGCCAGCAGTAAGTCATGCTCGTTTCCGGTGAGGGTTGGACTCCACCAAGGTTGCCCTTTATCACCAATTCTGTGCATAAGTTTTATGGACAGAATTTCTAGACGCAGCCAAGGTATTGAGGGGATCTGTTTTGGTGGCCTTAGGATTGCATCTCTGTTATTCACAGATGATGTGGTTCTATTGGCGAGATCCCGGATACATGCGGCTGAAATGAGAAAAACTATGGAGAAAACTAGGGTGAGGAGCTCAGTCATCCGGGAGGGACTCAGAGTAGAGCCGCTGCTTCTCCACATCGAGAGGAGCCAGTTGAGGTGGCTCGGGCATCTGGTTAGGATGCCTCCTGGACGTCTCCCTGGTGAGGTGTTCCAGGCACGTGCCATTGGAAGGAGGCCCAGGGAGAGACCCAGGACACACTGGAGGGACTATGTTTCTCGGCTGGCCTGGGAGCGCCTTGGGATTCCTCCGGAGGAGCTGTCCCAAGTGGCTGGGCCTATTTATTACTATTTATTTTCCGAGAATGTGTTTATTAAGAGCAACTATGCAAATGAACAAACATTTAGAAAAAGTAGACTATGGTATATTATTTCTATGTGAATCCCAGGTTATTCATGCTTGTTTGCCTTTTATAAAAAGTGCTTTAAATCAGTCCTAGCTGTCTTTATCCATGCTGGGTCAGATCTTGACATTAGAAAAAGGAGGCACGGAAAGCAGAATAAAGCATTAGCTTCACTGGATCCTGTTGGCGAAGCTTTGGCGCTAATCCAGGTCCTGGGAAAGACAGAGTTGACTGTCTCCCTCTGTCTTTGGACTGCTGATTAATTATGATTTTAGGCTGATCAGGTCCAAACGATTTTACCTCCAGCTTTGCTTTAAGGGATTTTCCTTCCACGACTCGCCCTGTCAATCAGCCCAACTACGACTGTTACGACAGTTCCTGCCACCTTGATGTGCACTTTATCTGCTTCACGAGCCATCCTATACTTCTGTATTACAGATAAGCTCCTGTGCATGTACTGTACAACTTTTAAAAACAGTCCATGGCCAAAGATTTTAGTCCCCTAGGGCCAATCCGACGAAAAACGAAACTGCTTTACTCGTCATTAAAGATTAAATATTTATTTTGCACATCTAAAAAATATATATCAATATGTTTCAAAATATTTTGATTTTATAAGATAATTTGAATTTTTTTTAATTTCTTAATCAAGGTTATTAGGAGGGTGGGGCGGGGTCCTAGCGCCCTCTATTGGTTAGCCGCCCCTGCATTCACAGATTATAATATTGCACATAAAGGTATCTTATGGAAGTAGAGTAGATCAGAGCAGCAGCAGTGATATTAATATTGCTTATTATATATAGCATCAGCTGAATAACTTTTACATATGAGAGTTTTTCCACTGTGTTTGTCTTAATTGTAATGCATTTGCAACACCTCTCAGTACAATACAAACTGCTGAGTGTGGACTGTGCTTGATAATTTTGTGATCTTAGTTGAGGGTGGTTTAAATGAGGAGAGGAGACAGAGCAGTCAACAATCCTCTGTTCTGCATTTACTATCCTATAAACGACAATCTCTTTAGTCTTTGTATTGTTTAGTGCCATGTTGTTGTTTGAGCCCCAGAATGGGAGCTTCAGGACATCATCTTTGTAAGCTTATAGTCTTTATATTCATCCAACTACAGTCTTCAGCAGTAAGGGACACCACCATGAAGTGCCTGTTACTGTTTATTAATCATGTTCAGCAGGAAGGAGATCACTGTGCTAGTTTTAGTATCTTGTAGAATTAATTGGGTGGTAACCAGTGACTGTCTATGCTGTTACATCAGTGGTTAAGCAAATACGTAAAGGGCCCTGTGGTGCAGAGAACGGCCCACTAGCCCAACACTTTTTACAACTCAGAACGGAGGACACAGTATTCAAGGCAAGACAGACAGTGGGATTACTGCAAAAAGCATTTATTAAAAACAGGCGGATCTGTAGGTCTGCAGTTGATGGGCATCTAGAGCAGTAACCTCTGCAGGAGGGAAACACAGGCTAGTGACTAGGATAATCTGAAGGGGGATGATTATAAACAAGCGAGTCACTAACCTGGTATAATAGTTCAGTCCATAGCCAGATAACGAGGCAGGATCCAGCTGTTGGGCTGCCAACAAGAGTGTCCCAGATGCTGAAGCCCCACAGGACATGCAGGAGTACGAAGCCAGGTCAGGCAAACAGATCAGAACAGGAATACACAGGCTCAGAGCTCCAAGACTCCAAAGACAGTTCAGGCAAGCGGTTCAGACGGGAACAGGCAGGCTCAGTGGTTAAGAAGCAGAACAGGTCATCAGTGCTAAGATCTATGCTAGTGTCAGGGATCTTCGGGTTCCACCAGGTTTCTGTCATTAAACACAGTAGTCTTGAATAGAGCAACTCCCCACAAGCTGTAGTTTCAAGTTGCCTGTTCTGTGAGT